TGGTGCAGCTCAAGAAGAGGGGTTTATAAGCCAGTCTGGAAAAGCTACCCATTTCCCCTGGTGTTCCTTAAGTCAGGGCTCTGTGTGGGTTAACACCTCCACACTAGGAGAAGCCATTTGCTGAGCATCACTTACGGTGACTGAGGGTCACGTGACTCAATGGGAACAGCCCCTCACCTGGGGAGCCTGTCTCCCGTGGGATGGGAAAAGCAAAACTCATCGTGATAAGCATTTTTTAAAGAGACCCATAGCAAGTCAGACATCTTTCAAATATCTTTTTATTTTGACATAGTTTAAGACCCACAAGAAGTTGTAAAAAAAAAAATTGTTCAGAGTGTTAGTTACTGTGTACCTGCCACCTAGTTTCCCCTCATGATAATATCTTATGTAGCTATAGTACATTGTCAAAATCAGGAAGCTGATATCGGTACAATACTGTTATTATGTACAGACTTTATTTAAATTTTGCTAGATTTTGCCTGCACTTCGTGTGTGTGCGCGTGTGCGTGCATGTGCGTGCACACATAGGTCTATCAGATTTTATCATGTGTAGATTGGGGTAACCGTGAGCACAGTCAGGATGCAGAATGCAGAACTGTTCCATCACAAGAGAACTCCCCCGATGCTAGCCCTTCATAGTCAGTCACATCCTCCCCCAAGGCCAGATACCTTTAGTCCCCCAAAATCCCAAGATATCATAATACACATCAAGATTTGACCTTAGCTTGAAGAGAATGTTAGCCAGATTCAATATGACAAAACAGGTTATGGTTGTAATTTATGATCGTTACTTGTGGTCGCAACCCGTTATGACAGTACATTGTCGTGATTGTAACTTGCGGATGTGATGGTAGACAGTTGTGATTGTAACTGTCGTGATAGTAACCTGTTCTGGTGGTAAGTTGTGGTCGTAGCATTTTGTGGTTGTAACCTGTTGTGATGGTTAGTTGTCGCGGTTGTGAGTGTGGCAAGTTACGAGCATTTCTGGTTGTAACCCTGCTATACTCCCCACAATGCTTTCTTGCAGGAACTGTGTGCCTTTCATGTGGGAACAGTGTTCTCTTCTGATGAAAGGATACTGTAGTCAAATCCATCCTTCAAAACACTTCTCCAAATGATGTCCTCTTGAGTAAAAAGCTCTAAAGGCCTCTAAATGAAACTTGCAGGTGTCAGGAGAACATGGAACATTTAAAGGGCAAAGCCAGCAAATTAGCCAATTACTCCTGGGTGATAAATGGCATTTCCAGATGGGGAGATGAGGGCGGTAGCAGTGTATGTACACACACACGAAAGTCTGAATGACACGCCATGGGTTTCCTTATTAAAAGTATAAGCTTTAGCAAGGAGGAAGTGTGAGGAAATTCTTTAATTGGGCTCATATTTGAACTTCTCTTGTAAAGAGTAATCAATTGTTAGCTTAAGTTAGACCTTCTCATTATAGATGTCAGAGATTAAAGGGGTCCCAGCAAAAAATACAAGTGTGTAACTGAAACATGGTTATGATGAGCACGTGATGAAATTCTTAGACACCGTCCTTTGGGCCAGCATGCTAATACTGTGAGTGAAGATAAAACATCACATTTAAATAAATGATGATCTTTGGCATGAAAACAATTATAATTCATGCATTTTCCAGCCTTGGATCTTAGACTCATAGACTTAACTATAGTTTTGGAGTCTATTTCTGAAATAAGTTATCTGTTATATATTTTTTTTCTCAAGAAAACACTTATGCTGACCTCGTAGGCATCCCATATTTTGTCTGTAGGTGACAGTGACAGTCTCATCAACAAGTTGCATCTGTTGTCTTACCTCCCATCTCCGCATTAAATCCCTAGCGAGTTGACAGATTGGCTGGCTAAAGTGGCTGCTGGCCCTCCCTGTTCACTTGCCATTGAGATTGCCACATTAAATGACAATACTGCAAGTCACGTGAGTCCCCTGTAGCAGTTGTAGTAGAGTCACTGGTTTTCGTGGCCTCTCCACCCGTCCCCAGCTGAACCAGTTGCTGAAGGAACGGGGAGTGAGAGCAACCTTGAGCAAAAAGACACTAACCATTCTCACCAGAACAAAATGTTTTCTGAAGTGGCTGCCTTCGATCGGCCAGAGTTATAGTTGCTTTTTGAGGAGATGATTTGTTGACCTCCTCACTCCCTCGTGCCAGAAGTCCTCTCCCACGGTATCTTTTGAATCCAGAATATTCTTTGTCTTTGCCTCCCCTCAAGCCCAGGCCCACATCACCTCCACTTGGGTCATTACCTTAACTTCTTACCTCATCTCCTGGCCCCAGTTTGTCCTCAATGCAGCGTCCAGAGAGCACCATCAAGAACGTGAAACTGATCTTGTCAGGCTTGAAACTATTGTATAATAATGAAAACATATCCCAGTTAAAAAACAATGAGCATAAGATTAAACAGGCACTTCACAAAGGAAGTTATATGAATATGCTCGATATTATTTTTCATTCAGGAAATGCAAATTAAAACTACTTTGGGATGCCACAACACGCCCACCAGAATGACTGACATGAGACCGACAATGCCAAGTGTTGATGCAGATGTGGAGCAACTGAAACTCAGATGTCGTTGGTGGGAATGTAAACCTTCTTATAAAACTGAACATAGACCTGCCGGTGACCCAGCAATTTCATGCTAGTTCAAGAGAAATGAGAGCTTAAGGCAAAAAAAAAAATTAGAATGCTCATAGCAGCTTTATTTATAATAGCAAAGCAAAAACAAAACACTGGGAATGGCCCCAAGTATCAATAGAATAAGCGGATAAGTGGATAGACAATTTGTGATATATTTACATTCTTGTACGATGGAACGAATTACTGATACACATAAAACATGGATAAATGTCATTATGCTGAGTGAAAGAAGCCAAAGAAAGAGTGCATACTATATGAGCCCAAACATATGAAGCTGTGATACTTGCAGACTGATCTCTCATTCTAGAAATGAGATTCATGGCTGTCGGGGCTGGGATATGGACGAGGAGTGATTGGGCAGGCACATGAGAGAACTTTCTGGGGTGGGGGTAACATTCTGTATTTTGGTGGGGGTATGGGTTTTTCAGGTATATTCGTCTGCCAAGACTTCTCGGATAGTACACGTCGGATTTGTGTATTTTACTCCATGTAAATTTTATCTTAAGGGAATCATAAGCAAATGTGGAAGTGTGCTGATATCTGCGACTTACTTGGAAATGCATCACAAAAAATAAGAGGGGTGGATGGACACATGATAAAGCAAACAGTGCTAAGTGTTCATTATAGAATCCACGTGATGGATACAGTGCTTTCAACTTTTTTGAATGTTTGAAAATTTTCTTAAATGTTGGGGGAATTTTTTAAAGAAACACAAAGCGATCTTTTTAATGACTCCCCACTGCCTACAAGGTCAGTGAAAGCCCCTTAGGCTGCTGCCATATCTTTCTGCCCTAGACCACCAGGTTCCCTTCGTTTCCAAACATACAAGTGGGCTGGGCCTTCACATGCCGTTTCTCTGTCTAAAATGCCTTTCTTCCAGCCGATGAATTCCCACTCATTCCCCAGAGAGTACTAAGCTACTCATCCTTTAAGTCCAGGGTCCCCAACCCCTGGGCCATGGACCAGTACCAGTCTATGGCCTGTTAGGCACCAGGCCACACAGCAGGAGGTGAGTGGCAGGCGAGCTAGCGAAGCTTCATCTGTATTTGCGGTCACTTCCCAGCGCCAGCCTCACCTCCTCAGCTCCGCCTCAGATCATCAGGCATTAGATTCTCATAGGAGCACTGGTCCCTGGTGCCAAAAAGGTTCCCTCTTCTCTGAAGACTCCTCCCCTCTGTAGGCCCTATCCTACCTACTCCAACGTGGCCCTGGCTTCTCCTACAGCCTCTCGTTCCTTCTGGTATAGAATAACACTTATCACACAGAGCCATACTGGAGTCATGTGTATCTTTTTCACTGCTGCTAGATTTGGCTTCCCGAAGGCACCTTTTTCTTTATATCTTCGACACTCCCAATAAAGGTTGCTAAAATGAGGGGGATTGGGATGGAACAAACATCTGGCTTTGGTCTCTACCCTGTCAAGCCCACCTCCCCTGAAGGGAAAGGCGACACATTCGATTGGCTAGGCTGGTGACGGTCTAGGCCACATTTGGGATGGAGTGGGGCTGTGGCATGAAATGCTTTGCTCTGGACCCCAAAGGGAGTGAAGAAGCCCGAGGCGCTCTATGGAGTTGGCTGGGTATGTGTGCGCCCTTAAAGTGTATGAACTCTGATCTGGTCTGTAAGGCCAACTTTCCCCCAGGTAAGCTCCAAGATGATTTTGTGAGAGGGAAGAGAAGTAGCAGGAAGCTTCCATCTGGCTTCAGGCCATGTATTCTAACCTAGTACACAGAAGCCCTGACCTTGAGGGTGCTGGTGTCCTTGTCTAGCCCCTTCATAAGGTGAATGACTCACCTGATCTTCCTGTGACTCCTTGCATCAGTTCTCAATTGGTAAAGGACCTGGAGGGGAAGAAGGGCGTCAGTAGCACCCTCAGATCACCCTCACTGGCATGTTGGTCAGAAAACTCTTGATAAGTAGAGCCATGGAATCAACTGGGGTTGAGAGAGGGACTGGGCAGAGGGGAGAGAGTGGGTCGCAGAGGGAGCAGAAAAGGACAGGCCATTCCTCATGCTTCCTCTTCTCCAAGACAATGAATGGCTTTTGCATCCCTAGGCAGGGTCCTCCTCCTCCCCTCCTTAAAGATCATTCTGGAACAGCAGCTAGTCATTGCTCTGGCAGGATATTTTACCCACTGCTTGTTCTCTCTGGGCCTTTCAGAACGTCTGGGTCTTCTCAGAGCTAGCATTTTGGTGACCAGCTTATTC